GTACATGTATGTACATGTATGTTAATGTATGTAAATGTATGTACATGTATGTAAATGTATGTAAATGTATGTACATGTATGTAAATGTATGTAAATGTATGTAAATGTATGTACATGTATGTAAATGTATGTAAATGTATGTAAATTTTAATGTATGTACATGTATGTAAATGTATGTGAATGTACGTACGTACATACGTACGTACGTACATCGGTCGGTCGGTCGGTCGGTCAGTTGGTCGGTCTGTCTGTCGGTCTGTTTGTCTGTCTGTCTGTCTGTCTGTCTGTCTGTCTGTCTGTCTGTCTGTCTGTCTGTCTGTCTGTGTGTACATGTACACATCGGAATATGTATCTATAATATGTTCATTAGTCTTGCCTGGTGTGTGTGTGTGTGCAATGTCACTGCCGTGACCGTGCTACTCGCACTCTGTCACTGTCAAGATGGTTTCCATCCAACGGAATCCAACCCTCTAGCAACTTAGAACAAAGTGAACAGCTTCAGTTAAGATCCCTCCTGGGGGAAGCTAAGTTACCCACTACCACGAAGTCCAATTTTGATTTCTCCTGTTCCCAGATCTCCTCGGTGCAAATCAGAAACAAATATGTTCCGATTGTACTTTGGCAACAGAAATTCAGAGAATGTGTACTTTGGCATGTGGATGGAGTGGGTGATGAAAATCCTAGGTGTGAGAGGAGCTGTGCTCAAGAAACTGATCAACTCTTTGGCACATGGCTGAGGGATGCTCAGGTCAAAAATTCAAGACCGCGGAACCATGGAACCCACAAAGTGCGGTTAAGTTTGTACTCTGCACGCAAGAATTTTGATGGGGCCACATGACAGAAACCCCCAAGTCATGTGAGAAAATCAGAAGCCCATTTCAGAGAGCAAAAAGTGGATCGCCATATTGCACTTAGGTAGGCACTTACAAGAGTAGCCATCCTTAGGACCATTATGGGGAGGAACCTTGACGTCTGTGAACGCTGCTTTTTGGTCCCAATTGGGCTGACAGCCCCCCACATCGCCCCATGGTCCAACCAGCCCAGCAAAACTTAGCAATCAAAATCATGCAAAACGAGTCCTGGGAACAACAGAAGCACACCAGGTATCCATTGGAGTAAGCCTGGGAGTATAAACACTCCCCAGAAACAATATGAAAATCGTGGTTTCGGCCCTGGCCAAGCAGGCGGCCGAACCCCGGCAAACTAGGCGGCAACGTGCCGGTCAAGTTAGCAAAAATGCGAGGCAAAAAAGAGCAGCAAACGAGTAGAAATGTTGCCTCAAAAGGCACAACCTGGCACCACCATAAATTATTTATCATTATTTGCTTCCAAGTTGGAATGCGCCCGGCACTACTTCAAGACACCAGGTGCATACCGGGTTTTCATTGTTCAGCTTTTCCACATTGAAACGTACCAACATGTACCAACTTTCATCTTTTGCATTGAACACATTTGCCGTTGAAAATGTCCGTGTATTTGGCTTGGCCAGAGCTAGTTCGCGCGCTTTGCCGGGCCTCTTGCCGGCACATTTGCCCCTAATTTTGCTTGTCCATCACTGCTCCGGATGCTCTGCCATACGACTTGCCGGCACAAATGCTATGGCTTTTCGTTCCCACAGAGTTAACCACAGGTTCTGCCGCTAAGTTTGCCGGCCACAAAACCCAAGAAATCGGGTTTCTTGAGTTGCGCCGGCCCTTCTGCCGGAGGTTTTACCATCCCTTTAGCCACAGTTTTGGGTCAGTTTGGCCCAGAAAGTATTTATGAGATTTTATGAGTGTTTATACTACCTGGATACTTTCAAGGTATCTATGATTTGCACAGATTCGCATTATTTTGTTGCTTGATGCGCGCGCAGCTGTTGCAGGTGCTGATCTTCTGCATGGCAAGTTGGAAAGCAGAGGTTTATCGCTTGAACATGCCAAACATGCCAAACATGTTTGTCACCAATCGCACTTTTTGAAGCTAAGAGAGCAAAGGGTCTGAAATCTTCGGCAATCTTGATCCGGACCCTTGCGACACTTGAGGACTAGGAGGTCAATCAAAATGTCTCTTCCGTCGCAAGGAGTCCCCGAGTTGTTCCATTCAAATCCAAACTGAAGGTCCCAGGTGTCCACAAAGCTCGGCAGTACTACAGTCCTGCACCTCAACTGCAAACTCCAAATTAAATAAGCAAAAGACAGGCTCAACGGCTTAACACAGGTTTCGTTGCGTATAAAATCCTATAAGATCCTATAAGTAATAAATGGGAGAAAGTGTTGTCCGCGTATTTTTCCTTGTCTTTGTTGCATCTCCTTCGAGCAAACCGCAAAGGGCATCAAATAGCCAGAAATAGGCTCATGATTCATTCTCAATAAGCGTAATGTTTGCTAGCTTAAACTTCCCAAAGTAGTTCCGAAACATGCAGCACGACTTAAAAAGTGCCAATGCAAAGCTGTCTTAAGACCACTTTGACAAGCACAAGAATTTCTATGCTCGCGAATTTCTGATCAAGAATATGGATCCGACATTCGGCTCACATGCGCAATGGAAGATTATCTATTGCTTCCGATGCTTCGGATGGTTTCAGAAGGTTTTCTACTCCGTTCAAACTGGGTTCAAAGTAGTCTTTCAAGGTGGCGCAATAGTTCATGACAACCGCGGACAAGCACAGTCTAGGTCGCACTTCAATGATTCAAGCCCTTTGATGGGAGGGATTTATATCCGTTCCACAGTAATCGAAACGACAAGAATGCGGTGTTTACGATGTCCATCTGGAACTAACTTGAATAGCTGCGACCAGCTGCTAATGATTGTGTTTCTTTAAGTGCGCAAAGTAAGCGAATTCACTTGAGCTTCAGACAACGGCTCTTGCTGGGGCGGATGAGGCAAGCAAAGGCTCGCTCAAGTCTTCAACAAGTTGCCACACCTCGGCGCGTGGAAGTGCCTCAAAAGTCTCGTGCACGTAGTGACGTAGTGCATGTGTTTCAAATATTTCAAGTTCTTTCAAATTGTTTCAATTTTTCTGGTCGTTGACAAACATCGGCCAGTGGCCAAGAGCCAAGTTCGTGTTGAACAGAGTTCCAGAGCATCAAATGAAACTTGGAATATGAAGTTTCAAACTGTCGTCTCTTAGCACTTTGCGATAGAATTGTTGGGAACCCGAATGCCCACTTCTCGGCGTTTCCACACCTTTGCGTGTGCCTTGTGCTCCAGTACCACACGCGGCCTTCAAGTTGCCAGATCCAGCGAAAAGCACAAGTGTTCATAGGCGATAGGGCAATAAATTTAGAAGAAACAAAAACAAACAAGAAACAAGAAACACAACTTGCAATGGTGAGCAATGTGCTTCTTGCACACACACACACACAACTCAGGAGGTGGATTCGTTGCACATCATGTCGTCTTCTCCTTTCTCCCAATCCTCCTGCATCCTGACTGTCATCTAAGTGCAGAGCACTGCTGGTGACGCGCGCAAAATGAAAGTGTAAGGCCCTGCCAAGCTCTGCCCGGGGAAAAAAAAACATGCAGATCAAATGAGCATAAATGAGCTACTTTAGGATTGCAAGCTGCAACAGTGGAAGCTCCTGCCTGGAAGGCAAGATTTCATCGCTTGAAACCTGAAATACACAGGAAGCAAATGTGAACAAAGTCTTGAATGCTTTGGATGTGGTATACCAGGAAGCCTTTGCTTCAGATTGTTTGAGCTCGAAACCAACGACGAGGAATTGCTGTCATGTCGCAATATTGAGAAGCCATCGAAAGATCAGAGCCTTCCGAGAGCAAGGACACATGGATCATGTGGATCACGTGGATCATCCACTTGAATTCCCACCAAATCTTTATGTCGGTGTGATCACAACACCTCACTGCCATCTTCACTGATGAGGATTGCACACAGAAGGCTCAGAGGTTTTCGCCGATCTGGTGCGACACCCTGCGGGCTCTCCGCAAGGGGAAAAAAACGTGCTGAGTTCTCGTTCCCAACATCAAAACGCTACGGAATGGTTGTCGGATTTGTTCATGCCCTGAACAGAAAAGGATGCAAGCCTGGCTATTCTGTTCACTTCAGTTTGGGTTTTTGGAGTGGGACTGCCAATGTAGTACTTAAGAACTTGGGACTTGCAAGCCCTTGTAGGCTGAGTGGCATCATGCCAAGTATTGCGTTATGTGTTTCTATGAATCACGGGGTAATCAAATCGAATGTTTGCGCCCTTCCAAGGCCACAGCAACCAACTAACCTGAAAGCGCGCCAACCCGAAGTTCTATGAGGGCAATATTCTCTCAAGTTCACTTCTAATTTCCCCTGAAGAATACCCCTCCAGGAAAAAAAACTGCATCAACAGTATCACCATCAGCGTCAATTTCGGTCCATTGCTTCGAAGAGTTTCCAGACCAACAGTCCAATGCAGAACGTCTGGCAATTGCCCTAGTAGCTGCACTCTTGTATGGGCTGACCTGTTTTCAGAATTATTCACCCAGAATTGGATAGTCTGAGAAATACTCAAGTTAGTCAGTGAGTCGTGAATTCTAGAAATGACCAGTTCCTCAGAATAGGAGTCCTAGATGCCCCCGAGTTTGCCATACACCGCCAAGTCCAGCACTATCAAGAGCCACATGTGCAATCAAGAATGTATGGGTTGCATATGCTATGCTGACAGAGACTTTGTAGCACGCGTGGCATGGTACGGTATGATCCCACACCTTAAGTGACACATTTTTGCATGTTTGAAGCACATCACTTAATTGTTTGGTCTGGACTTTTCGGAGTAGCGAGATTTTGGGCTAATGCAATGCAAGGACTGCCCACCAAATCTGCCTTGATGTCGTAGATCCGCCGTATGCCCTGCTTGCTGCTCATAGCAGTAACAAAGGCGTGCTGCGTGTCTGTTGGAATCACACCTCAAGAATGGTTGCAGATCTAAAAGTAGTGAAAATTAACTTGAAGGGTTGATCACAAATCGTTGACCGCCTCACACAATTGACATCAAGTTGAGATCATCTGTAGAATCTATATAAAAGGATTGTGTTAATAGCCGAAGCAAGTTTAGAAGTCAAAATTCCGACAATATGGACAGATGAAAAGCAGAGATGGGAAGAGTCACAAAGAAGAGAAGAGAAGAAAAAGAGAAAGTCTCCGAAGAAAGAAGATCCAGGTGCGCGAAAAGGTAGGAAAGTCGCGAACCACTGTGTTTTTCCAATGATTTGTGGCTCCGGAGGGTCGAAAAGTAGGCTCGCTAAGCGGCAGGTGCAGAGCCAGCTGGCCAGATGAGAGATGAAAAGTTGCACGCCGTTGTGGCGCGAAGCACGTTTGCAAGTCAAAATGTACAAAAACACACCACGCCCGGACCACTTTTGGAAGATGGGATGTCGAAAAGGTGCATGCGGCTGTGGCGCGAAGCACATTTCCAAGTCAAAATGCACAAAACACCTCAGCTTCGGAGCACTTTTGGAAGTTGCGCTGTCGAAAAAGTGCACGCCGTTGTGGCGCGAAGCACGTTTCGAAGTCAAAATGTTAAAAACACCGCCGGCTCGGACGCGTTTTGACGTTCAGATCTCGTTTTGCGTGGCAGGCGAAGGGGATTATGCACCTTGTCAAAAGTTGGCAAAACTTGAGGGTTTTGTAGCATCTCCAAAAACGATGGCAGGCGTGGGACATTTGAAGAGGATCTGCAAAGATGCATTTTCCGTGGCAGGCGCAGTACAAGAGACATGTTCATCAGAGCTGTTAGGAGGTGCGGGCGACGGTTTCCTGAGGGGTTGCATTTTGGAGCACCAGATCTTCAGGTTTGCTGAGATGATTTTGTGTGACAGGCGCAACACTCCTGGCATCACTTTTTCGTGGCAGACGCAGTACTTTAGACAGGTGGAGTGGAAAAATTGCAAAACGCATTGGTACGAGGCCGTCAGCTCTGCACTCAACTTTCCATTTTTGAAGGAAGTCTCGCAGAATTGCTTCGTTTTTTATGTTGTCAACTTCAAAAAATGAGGAAGACTCGGAGAATTGCTGCGTTTTTGATGTTGTCAACTTCAAAAAATGGAGAAGTCTCAGTCTCGCAGAATTGCTTCGTTTTTGACGTTGTCAAGTTAAAATATTGAGGAAGTCTCGCAGAATTGCTTCGTTTTTCATGCTGTCACCTTCGAAAATGGAGGAAGCCTTGCAGAATAGCTTCGCTTTCAAGCTTGCAGATAGAAAGATAGATAGATAGATAGACAGAAAGATGGCTATATAGACAGACAGACAGATAGAGAGATAAACAGATAGACAGACAGATAGACAAATAGATAAACATATATATATAGATAGATAGACAGATAGATAGACAAACTGCAACTAAACTACAATTAAAACTAACACTACAACTACAACTGTAGCTACACAACTACATTTCAACTACACTTCAACTACAACAACTTCAACTACACTTCAGCTACAACTACAACTTCAACTACAAATACAACTTCAACTATACTTCAACTATACTTCAACTATACTTCAACTACTGCTACAACATTACAACTACAGCCACAACTACAACTGCAACTACAAGTACAAATACAAATACAAATACAACAACTACTACATCTACACTACCACTACAACTGCAAGCACAACTGCAAGTACAACTGCAACTATAGCTACAACTTCAACTACACTACACTAGGCTACAACTACAACTACAACTACAACATTACAACTACAACGTTACAACTACAACGTTACAACTACAACAACATCAGCTACCACTACACTACAGCTACAACTCCAATTTCAACTACACTACAACAACAACAGATACCACTACACCACGGTACAACTACCACTACAACTACAACTACAACTACAACTACAACTACACTACAACTAGAGCTACACTACAACTACAGCTACAGCAACTACAACTCCTACAGCTACTACAACTACTACAATTACTACAACTACAACTACAACTACAGCTACACTTCAACTACACTACAACTACAACTACAACTACAACCACAACCACAACTACAACTATAACATTACAACTTCAACAACATCAACTACACTACAGCTACAATTACAACTACAACTACAACTACATTGCACTTCGCTACACCACACTACATCCTGCAGTTGTGGGTGAGGTGACCACTGCAACTCCAAAAATCATAAGCACCTTTCGGTCCATAAGTGGATTCGCTCTGCCATCCATGCATCACAACAACTCACCTCTCCTATAGTTTCCTATTTCTGAACCTTCCGCCACCGCCTTGTGCCGTACTACTGGTAAATGGATAATATGTTTAAAATGTTTAAAGATTTTTTTAAGAGTTAAGCAATGTCAAGCACTACTCCCTCTTGCTCTCTTAGCCTCTGCTCTCTCCCTCTTTCTTCGGGCCGCAGAATTCTCAGGCATTGATGCTTATTCGGCTGATGCCTCTGCCTGTTTTTGAACATTCCGAGTAGAAAAAGGCCTATGCATGGAGAATCATAAAGTATCATAGAGTAATATATACTATATATACATTCAATGTACTGACTAAGTCCTCTGCCCATGCCATCAATGGACAGGCTTTCCAAAGCAGGTCCAAGCTGCAACAAATGAGCTTCTTCGAGCCTGAGTAACCAATGTAAACCTCAAAACAATGTTTTTTCTTGGAGTCCAAAACCTATTGACTTCAAAGAGGCTGTAAGTGCAGGAACGAAGATTTCTTACAACAACGACGGCCAACACTCGAGCAAATGACAAGAAAAACTCTGCGCTAGCTAGGTCTTTGCGTGAGAGCTTGATCCTTCATCTTCTGCCTATCTTGACTGGGCCCTTGGCGGTTCCGATAGTACTACATCCTCAAGGTGTATGTAATTTGCCTGTTCCCAAAATTGTTGTTGCAGTAAAGAAGCAAGCTCTGCAAACATGCGCACTCAGCATGTTGCCTCTTACACCGTGTCTTACACCCTATGGTTTCATTTTCTTGGTAGTGACATGTAGTGACTTAGTGTCAAAGCCTGATTTCAAACTCCCACTGTTGCCTCGCTTCTCTGCAGCTCTCTACGGCGGCCTCGTGCTCTGCATGCCTTGTGCTCCACAGTCAAAGAAAGACATACAAATCCACAGATCGACTGACCATGCTAAGCATTGCACATGTATGTGTACGTGAGAAGATCAGTTTCAAACACCGATTGATGAGCATGCATCTTGTCGCTCATGCGCAGCTGCATGAGACTTCAATGTAGTTTGCCCAAAGCATGTTCTTTTTCCGACCCTTTCTCTGGCAGTTCATGACTAGAGTACTCTAGTACTCTAGCTCTGATTCTTCCACTTGCGCAACAGCTCAGTTTCGACATTCTCGAGGACGAACTCGTGCAAGATCATCTCTAAATTGTCCTGAAAAGCCGGGAAAGCTTCAAGTGCAGAAATGCAAGCACTTGAAGATTCTTGAGTCATTGAGATATAGCCCTGCTGTAGCCTTCACAGCATGTTTCTATTGCAGTATGTTGCTGCATACGTTGCTATCCTATGTAATGCGATATATCCCCAAGCAAGTTGCTGAAGGCAGTCAGGTGGGGTACGACAGAATCACTAACCAAAAAATGTGATAAACTGATTAAACTGAGTAAACTTGTAAATTTGTTAAAGTTAAATTTGTTAAACAACGATAATCAAGGAGGGTTGGGCCTTCCGCTCAAAAGAAAAAAAGGGCTGTCCTGCTCTGTTTTGTACACCTTGGCAGGATCAGGCCCACCACCCGGCATCATGGGTGCTCCTCCCATGCTTCCCATCCTGACAGAATCGGGCCAGAATGTAGTACGATTAGTATGTAGAACTGTAGAAGTTGTAGAAGTAACAAAACAAAAAAACAAAAAAACAATGTACATGTAGTACGATCACCCCATGGGGAAACCACCAAGGAAACTCCACAAGGACAGCAAAGCAAGAACATGCAAGGACAGCAAAGCCTGTCTTGTTTGTCTTACCAAACTCCAACATGCAACAAAATGTAGCACACTTGGCAGACTTGCAATACCGAAGCTCATAGCCATCATTGGATCCTCTGCTTCTACATCCGACTTGGTGAAGAAGGACTGCACCAATCCAATCAGGCTGTGACTACTCATCATGACAAACCTGAAGCATTGCTAAGGAGGTCATTCAGCGAGGCATTGAAGCAAGGCAGCAACTTACTGGAACTGCAAAATCAAACACTCAAAACATATATATATATATACATAATTATATATAATCATATATATATATATATTATATTATGTATATATATATAAATCATTATATAAAATGAAAAAAAAATGAGGAGTCAAGCAGCATGTACCAACACAGTGAGGAGACATATCCAGGCTCTAGCGCCGTCACCTCGACCCCTCGCTGCAACATGCCCTGTCATCCACAAGAGAGCATGCTGCATGCTGACAAAGGTTTCATGAAAAAATGAATGCATTCATCACAAAGCGTCACAAAGCGTCACAAAGCGTCACAAAGCGTCACAAAGTGTCACAAAGCGTCACAAAACCATTTTGAACGCATTTCCGATCCTATTCCATTAGATACCTTCTAGTGCTGCTGCACTACCCTGCCTTGAACTGAAACGTCAAGGGAAATGGAGTCTTAGCCACTAGGAAGCCGGAAAAGAGATGTGAAACCCAGTATGCTAGCAATCCTTGAGATACCATGAAAACCATCTGGCCCTTCATCATGCCCATCGCTGCCATTGGATCTGATCCTGCCGATAGAGCTTCCATGGGATCCTTTGCCTTGGGAACTGATTTCACCAGGACACCCACATCTTTCTTCACAAAATATGCCTTCCTGCACTTGAAGGCTTTCTCTGTCAGAAAGTGCGAGGCTGCTCGAAGCATTTTGCAGCGTCCGAGCATGCTTTGCGTTTTCACTTCTTTGACATCGACTTTCGGATCATTTTTGAAGAGAATCATCAAGCTCGATCGGATCATGGAGGTCAACACAACCACCACAAAAATGGGCAGCAACACATTGTCGCGAATTTTTGGATCAAGCAAGATCCCCATCAAACCTAAAACCCATGAACGTCCTCCAACTCTTAGTGCGCTGTGGCTCAGTAGAACCACTTGTTGTCATCAAACGGCTGCAAAATCAAAATCATGGTGGAATTGTGAAACCAGTTGTTGATTTGTGTTGACATTTTTTATGCTATACGTGCAGAGTTCGACCAAATTTGTACCCACCAGTTTGAATTTTGGCACAATAAACCACAGGTAGATGAAACATCAACATAATCCATCCACGTTGTCACTCCAGGAAAATGGCAAATTCGATCACAAACCTTGCTCAAAGTTCAGCCACTACCAGGCTGGCCAAGGGCGTGGCTGTTGCAGCACGCTTAGAAGAATGACGCGCAGCGCTAAAAGTGCAAACCTTGAAAGAATGGCCGACTGTTTTAAAAGGTGACCAGTCAGGATTGGAACATCAAAAAAAATAAACATTTGAGGCCCGAAACCGTAAGAGCGCTGCAGCACACTGCGCGCCTTGGTTACAATTCCACGTTCAAACACTGGTGCGACATGGTGCAACAAATATGGAACTTGAACAATATAGACTTTTGTTTTTGTTGAACGTCAAAATGAATGTCATATGTCACATGTCCTTCTGACTTTTGGACACCCAATAATTTCTGAATCACTGCAATCCGTGTGCCCGGCAACCAATGACAGCCTCACACTGCACTTTGATTTGCGCACTACATCAAAGAAAACACACCAACAGTTTGAGCCCCCAGCGCGTGTGTGCAAGAGATTGAACCTCCAAAATGCAAAATCAATTCATGATTTCGTGTAGGTTTCACAAATATTTGGGTCTGAATTTGCAACATTTGCCTTTTGGATTGTTCTTTCAGCACGCATTGGGCAGATTGCACTGCATCTTGATCGGATTGGACCGCCATGCTGAAACCTGGCCAAAACATCAACATGAACTGCATCGTTTCCATTCGCAAGAGAAAAAAATCGCATGAATTGGTGCCTTAAGTTTGGCAAGCTGAACTCCAACATTGTTGGACACAGAACATGCAAGCTATGAGGCACGTTTTTGGTGGCAGATGTTTTTTGAATGGCCACCGCTGCAATTTTTGCAGTGCAATCTTCGGACCCGATCAAATCCTGTATGGTAGTACTTAGCTTTAACGGAATTTGAAACCACAACAAAGGCACAACTGGCAAGACATTTTATTGTCTCGGATGTTTGCTGCTGCTACTACGGTTGTGCATGTTATGTTCTGTTTCAACAAGTTTGTGCCCATGCGGCAATGTATGACAATTGTTCAAGGTTTTCCCGGCTGGAACCATGACACCCACCCAAAGACTGTTCAAAATACCGTTGCGCAGAACGAAACAACAAAATCGTAAACATGTTTTCACGTCGTAGTTTTTTACTCGCATTTTTTTATGCAATTTTGACACTGCTATAACATTTTCCTGTTGACAATATGTAAACATACCCGAAATAGACTAGACGTGTGAAGTTCAGATTTGCCAATTTCAAATGAAAACGTTGAAAACCCCGCGCATTAACCGCATGTTTCCGTTATGACCTCACTGAATTCGTTGAAAATTGTTGCGTTCCCAATTGCCCCACGTTTGAAAGTAAAACCTCATTGTCACTGTTTGTTGACAAACCATAAAAATGCAGAAAAACATGAAGAATCAAAAAGCAGAGGATAACCCCCCATGTCGTGCTCTTCCAACTGTGAACAAACGGCGGGCAGCGCGCCCTGTTTTGGACCACAAAAAACCTAACGGATGAGAATCCATGACATGCTCTTCATGCCATGCAACTGCACACTTCAATCTCGATTTGTGCTGTCATCCTTGCATATGAGTAAGATTGTAAGTCTTTCGTACCCCTCCTCAAAAGTTTGAGCTGGGCTAAAGGTTTTTGTCTTCCCAGCACTTTCCAGATATTCACTTCTGCATATTTTCCTTGAGAGGAAAGCGCCTCAAGATAAGAACTGATACTACACTGATCAAATGTATGTCACACAGGGGTGGCAACACGACAGAATGCTATGTATGCACTCAACGCAAATGTGTTGCACCCCACCTTGCTGCGAATGTCAATGTAGCAGCATGAATTCTACGGCCATTTGCGCGGCCAAAGTTCAAAAGTTTGAGTGGCCTGGTCACTGCCGCTGGGGCGTAGTTTCACGTGCCACTACTTGCCAAGTCCCTTAGGGACTGTTGCCAGGATCCACTTCCTAAAAGAATGGCTACCTAGATACTGAGTGTTGCTACCCACTTCACGAAGCTTCTGAGCTGTCATTGTCAAAAGGTCCATGGTGGCACAGCATCCACTCTTCCGGATCGCTCACTTTGCATAGTTCTGAATTTCCATACCTTCGTGCTCTTTCACTGGCAGTCTCCATCTCAGCATCACTTTCTGATGTTTCTTCTTCTGCATTCTCTGAACTGAACATGCGATCATGGCATCTGCAACTGCATTGACATGCGTGCTACTGGCTGCAGCCCTTCCGCCAGATGGATGGCTCGATGAGCTGGCACTTCCAATTGTATTCACCAGCTGTTGACCAACTGTAACAGCCCTTTCAGCATCATCCAAGGTGGTGCAAAATTGAGAGGTGGACATTCTGTAGGACGGGCTCTCATCATCTGAAATGTTAGTCATTCTTCGCGTCATTTGACTTGCTGCAAGTCTGCCACCTGGATCCTCAGAGCGGCAGCCCTGCATCACTCCTCTCAAAACAGCCATCCTTTCAGCGTAAAGCCTCATGCGCTGATCCGTGGTTGCATTGCTACGCCCTGGCAAAACGTTCATACATCCATGTAATCATGGCCTCAGGCGACCAAGGATCTTCAGGGGAGGAAAGTTGAAGGACGTGGTGAAGCGGGACATTCCGCTCTCGTCGACACCACCCCAAACTGGGATGCTCTCATGTGAGCTCCTGGCACCAGTAAAGACGGTCACTGTGCCTGGTCCCAAAGGCGTTGACACCGGGATGTCATAGGAGTGCTCACTGCTGTCGGCTGGAACTGCAGCTGTTGCAACATCAGGGGCCACATCCTCAGTCATGTTTTCGGCTGCATCAGCCTCCATTGTCACATTCATGGCTGTGTCAGCCTCCATCGAAGTTCCAAACCAACCAAGCAATGTGAACATGAGGGGAAAGATCATCACCAAACCAAGAACTGCAGTGAAGATGAAAAGGTTCCATCCATGATCCATCGAACCTTTGTCACTGCACCCTTTCAGATTTAAGAGGCTCAAGGCGCACACCAATGCCCTCACGTTTTCACGTTTGATGAAAACTCTTCCAGGATCATCACCTCCCTCCAAAGCTCCAACATCTGTGTTGCAAAGGCCCAAAACGGCCATCAAACTTCGAAGACGAGCTGCCGACAAACGTTTTGTCCCAATGTCAGCCAGACTGACATGGCCGCTGACACTGCAAAGACGAATGGTGCCATTGGCAATGAGTGCTTGAAGCCAAAGCACCCGGCAGCTGAGGTGGCGCAAACGCCCAACTCCTTGCCTTTGCAAGATTTCACGTGCGCGGCTGCTGTCTGTGTAGACATAGATCCAAGCGCGGCGCCCTGTAAGCCAACTGCGAAGCCTTGCCAAAAGTATGGCATCAGATGAGCCGCTGCTGCAAGCGTAAACCTCAGCCTCTGCAGAACTAAGGCTCACCACCTTCTGTGTTCGAGATGCCGAGAAAATCAGGCATCCTCCCAAGAAAATGCAACAGCAGCTAACGCTTCGTCGCGTTTGACGATCTGAAGCCCAGTCAGAGTCTGTGAAAACTTCAAGAGCATTCTCTGACTGTTGGACATCTGGATAGGCATGAAAAATGCCAGGTGGTCCTTCCACACCACTTCAAAGACATCGAAATTGATGCGTGGCCGGCCAAGTAGGAGACCAAATGCCTCAGCACCGTTTGGCTCTTCTGCATCGGCTTGGAGCTGTATAGAGATACTGGGGAGGACCGCCTTTGGGAGTCCAAATTCTACATACCTTTCCAACCCCAAAAATGGGCATCAAACAAATCGAACAATTAATGACATCATCTTGCGCATCTTGCGCTTTCTTGCGGAGTCGTCTGGAGTCACAAAGTTGGAACTCTTTCAGCTCTTTCCCCATTGTAAATGGGGTTTCAGCAGCTTTACCGACTCCGCCCGACTCCGGCAAGACTCCGCAACTAACAACATCAATTTTGCATCTCCAGCCTTCTTACGGAATCTGCTGGGGTAATGAAATCGAAACTCTTCCCCCAATGTAAACAAAGGATTCATCCGGTTTTAAATATTTACTATCAACACCCAAACAATTCCAAGCAACATGGTGCTTTGGCAAAGATTGGCAACATGCAGGCGGGGCTGGAGACCTTCAATCAGCAACCGTGTTCCCCGGGATCCTGCCATTCCGTTGGACTTGCAAAAGCACTGCCGTTTGTTAAAGCTGCGCCAGTTTTGGCAAAAAAGGTCACTGCAGCAATCTCATTTTCGGGACCGTAAACACATTAGCTTTTTGGACTCCAAGAAGTGGTCCTCCTCCCCAGTTGCGTTGAAAGCTTGCTGCTCAAACAAAATCCAACTTTGATCCACTTGCCAAATTGCGTCATGCGAAGAGCTTCGTGTCTCGAGCAGCTCGCAAGGTTCCACACTGCCAAAAATGGGATTGCCACGCGCTACCGCTTTTCGCTTTGGACGAGGCCATTCCGAGGCTGTTTTCAATCTCTTTTTTAATAGCAGGCGAGACCAAAAACGGGCGCGCCAAATCCACACGTTGGAGCGTGTGGCAACCCTGTTTTTGGGGTTGCGGCATGACGCTCGGAACGCCCCCAGCTGCTTCAAAAGTTCACCAGAAACAATGAAACCAAAAAAAGCAGGAAGAATGACACAAACATCCATGTGCTGAACTGGGGAGGACCGCCTTTGGGAGTCCAAATTCTACATACCTTTCCAACCCCAAAAATGGGCATCAAACAAATCGAACAATTAATGACATCATCTTGCGCATCTTGCGCTTTCTTGCGGAGTCG